TTGGAAGCACGGGTAGAAAAATGGCAGATGGAGTTTAATCCAGCCAAATGTGAAGTGATGCATTTTGGTATGTCAGGTACAGGTGGAAATTGTACAGTGAATGGCAGAACCCGTAGGAGTATTGATATGCAGAGGAATCTGGTTGTGCAGGTCCTTAGATTACTGAAGGTGGCAACACCGGTAGATAAGGTAATAAAAAAGGCTTATGGCATGCTTACCTTTATCAAAAGGGGCACTGACTATAAGGATAGACAAATAATGCTGCAGCTTTATAGAGCTTTAGTTAGGCCACACTTGGAATATTGAGTACAGTTCTGGTCACCACTCTACCAGAAGGATGTGGATGCTTTGGACAGGGTACAGAAAAGGTTTACCAGGATATTGCCTGGTATGGGGGATTCTAACTATGAAGAAAGGTTGGCTAGACTCAGTTTGTTTTCACTAATGCAGGAGGTTGAGGGGCGACCCAGTAGAAGTTTGTAAGATTGGGAATGGCATGGATAGAGTGGAAAGTATGAGGCTTTTGCCCAGGGTGGAGGGGTCAATTACTAGTGGACACAGGCTCAAGGTGCGAGGGGGGTCGTGGTATGGGAGGGGGGAGTTAAAAAGAGATGTGCGAGGCACGTTTTTCACACAAAGGATGGTGAATGCCTGGAACGCATTGCAGTGGAGGTAGTGGAAGCCGCACAATAGCAGCATTCAAGAAACACCTGGATGAATACACGAATAGGAAGGACATAGAGGGATGCGGATCCTTTAGTGAAGTCAGTTTTAGTATGGAAGGGCAAAATGTGGAGGCGCAGGCTTGGAGGGCCGAAGGGCCTGTTCCTGTGCTGTATTGTTCTTTTACAATTTATGTCAATAACTTAGATGTTGGAACAAAGATATAACTAAGTTTAGAGATAAAGATCAGTAGGAAAGTACATCAAAGAGGATGTGAGGTTAAAGACTAATAAAGATGCGTTGTATGAATGTGAGGCTAAGTCAAACATTGTATGATTTCAAGAAGGAGTTGTATGTAACACTTTGGGCTAAAGGGATCAAAGGATATGGGGAAAAAGTAGGACTGGGCTAGTTGAAAAATCAGCTATGGTTATAATGAATGGCTGAGTAGGCTTGAAGGGCCAAATGGCCTATTCCTGCTCCTATTTTCTATGTTTCTATATCTGTAATTTTGAGTGGAATTTAAAGGTGATTACATTTAATGCTAAAACTGCATAGCACACACCCACAGCCATGCAGTCCCAGTGCTTGCGGCACCACTTCCAGCAATGCTGTGGAAGTTGTGTAATGTTTATTTCATGTAGTATCCTGCTGCCCTGAAGATCTATTTTAAAGCTGTTGTTCCACATATTGCTTGCCATCACACTCACTGGCCCACTCCCTTTGCAAAATGGTGAGCCAGGCACTGGCCAGCAACACAGCTGATGTGGCCAGCAGCAACGGATATGTTTGGGGGGGAAAAAAGTAGCCAAGGGAATGGCCTGCAGGACAGTGGGGAGCAGCAACAAGAACAGGCACATCACTTCTGGTTCTGCAACTGGTGCGCTACTTGATGGCATGACACCAACTTTGTTCAAATGCATTACAGGAGATACACCATTACAAGGTAACAAATTGATGTCTCAAAAGATTGTTGGGTTAAATGGAGTTAGTTCACTTGCCCCTACAGTTACAGACATAAAATTTACCAAACAAAAAAAATTTCAGTAAATGACCACAGATTTAAAGGTTGAGAAAGGGAAAAAGAAAACTACAATTAGAATAAAAAGATTGCTTTACTCCCAGCAAATAAATGTTTTAACAACATGTCACTAGAATGCTCAATAATGAAACCAACTGGCGAAATAATTGCCTGAAGTGATCAGCCATTGTTATTAAACTGACAGGCACACCTTACTACGATCTGACTTTTAAAAGCACAGTAGCCAATTATATTCTACATTCTTCATTTAAACCAAAGATTTTGAAGCTGCCCAGAAAGCTGTTCATCTTTCTTTTGTTTTCACCAGTAAGGCCCTTACAGTCAGTATTCCAGAAGAAGTATTTGAATTTTATGGGAGATAAGCTCCATCTTATTTAAATTGTCCTGTCTTCCCATGGCACACTTTTCATAAATTCAAATATCATTGCCTCTCACTTGACTCTTTTGATTGCTGCTGTTTTTCTTGATGGCACTTTTCATAGTTTCACAGTTGAACAGGTTTGTTTTAGGCTGAAATTTGCACACAAGATTTGGTTTTCAGTCCAGCTTGGTTTGTTGCAGATCACGACCGGTAACATTGTCAGGCTTTTTGCCTTAAATTTGTTTAAAGTATTTTTTAAACCTATAAAACGGTTATGTTTCTACGCATGGAAAGCAAAAAATACTGGAAATACACAGGAGCATTTGTGGAGAGACAAGAAGTATTGTTCTGTAAAAGTTCACTGACATGAAAAAATAAACTTTAGAATTTTCTATCCGCAGATGCTCTCTGGCGGAACAACTTGGTTCTTTTTGCAGAATTTAGGGTACTGGTAGGTGGTAAAGATAGTTTTATGGAACTGTGTTTTAGTTAAAATTTATGTTGATACTGAGTTCCTTTTGTATTTTTCAGTATTCTAAAATTCTGTATGTTGGACAAGCCATCATTTGCCTTTGCTACAGTTATGTTCCTTTGGTTTGATAACTTGATCATGTGAGGGTTAGATTTTGTTTTTATTGAAGTGTAAAACTTTGTGAGAATTGACAGACCAATATGATCCTTTGTGAGGTATGGTCTGTCCCTGCAAATTAGTTGGAACCGAGACAGCAAGTTTTGGGAAGTATTAAACTGCTGAATGAACCTGACTCTGCTCACCCAAGTCCTTTTGTGTTTATTCTGAAAGTTAGCAGAAAGTGATTAATAGCAGGAACTCCAGCTGTTTTTTTTTTTTTTGCAGAGTCCAGAAATGTTAACACCAGAACACAGGCCACTTGCGCTTTCTCTGCTGAGATTTGGCACCTTCCTGTGAAGAGAGATTGAGCAAACTGGGCCTATATTCTCAAGAGTTTTGAAATGACAGGCGAATTCATTGAGACTTAGATCTTTAAAGGGCTATACAGGATAATGCATGTTGAGGAATATTCAATTAGGGGATGTGAGATGAGAATTTCTTTATTCAGAGGGATTGTGAACCTTTGGAATTCTGTACAAGCTCAATATTCCGGTATGTTCAAGGTAAACATTGATAGATTTCTGATTACCAATGGTGTACAGGGTTGTTGGGGAATGGATAAACGTGTTCAATCAGCCATGATCGTATTGAATGGTGAAGCTAAATGGCTTACTCCTGTACCTGTGTTCTTGAGCTCAAGTGGAAATCTTCAGTAAAAATGCTTTCATTGATTTTCCTTTGGATGAATTAATGAGTTTTCTTGCCTGTGCACTGAGAACTAGAAAAACAAAAGCGCGAGGATCACTTTGCTCATGGACTAACATTTCCTGCTTGCTTAATGACAGTTCTAATTTGATTTCAGCATCACATTGGGAGGGTTCGGAGCTGACCGCTTCTATTTGGGCCAATGGAAAGAAGGTCTTGGCAAACTCTTCAGCTTTGGAGGGCTTGGAATATGGACCTTGATTGATGTACTGCTGATTGGGATTGGGTACGTTGGGCCTGCAGATGGCTCTCTATACATCTGATCTACACAAGAAGCTTCATCCTGTGATGGCCCTGAACTCAATAAGTGACGGCACCATGTTGAATTATGGAATAGCTGTTGCATCAAGTATTTGTACTGTATCATTTTTGCCTTTCTTTGCCAAGGTGAGGATTTACAGACAATTCAACAAGAATAAGACCTGTTGCTTTTAGGTTTTGCAGGCTAGCAGTGGCTATAATGATCATTGATATGATCAATGAAGGAATCCTTGAGATCCTGCTGTGGTTTGTTGCTTTTTCTGATTATTCCCTTGATTCATGCTGGTTTTGATTGAGTCCCTTCTGTGGAGGGCTGCAGATAATTTATTAGGGCATGGATTGAATGGTTTCCTGAAAAACTTATTAAAAGTAACAGGTGTCAAAGTGGAATTTGACAAAATATGGCATAATCTGAATTATAAATAATGGTGAAAAACTTTTAAAAAAATGCTAATAAAGTACTAAACAACTTGAGTGAAATGTTAATGTATAAATGAATGGTTTTAAGTGGGGTGGTTAAACATGCTGGACTGCAAATTATGATATGGGCTTGTTAGCCTAGCAAACTGGGGATATTGGGTGTTTTGAGATTGTGACATGACAGCATCATTTGGATTAGCTGGAGGATTAGGGTTGATTGTCTGCTTCCATTGCAATTCAGTGTGCATTTTATGTAGCCTGCAGGCTTAGTACGAGTTCGAGTTTTAGAACTCGAACATCTTTTAAATCACTATCCTTTGGGAGTCATTTAGTAAATGCTTGCTTTCAAACATGCAATTCTGATAACCACAATACTGACTCAATGGTTAATAACTTTTAGGTAAGGTGCTTGAGTCAATTCAGACCACAGGTACACTAATCATGGCATACTCATCTTTTTCCCCCCAATTGGATCTCTTGCTCTTAAACAAAATCTAAGACTTTCCAATTTAAGTTTTTCCAATAATTACTTCTATAGGAGGTAGGTCAAACCTCTCAACTCTTGTTCCTTGGTTATTAAAAGTGAAAATTGGGACTGAATGCAAGTTAAGCTTTTCACTGCACTATCAATAGATGAAGGAAGATATTAAGTCTGCTAAAGCTTCACTGTTCTAATTTTGATTCCTGATTTACCATACTTGCATATGCACCTTTTATTTCAGTGCAAGCTTTAGTTTTTGATAATGTTAACAAGCATAAGTAAATAGTAACTGCTACCACTAGAAACTCAGGTAGAACCCCTTGGCTTAAAGTAGTGAGAAACAATACCATGGAATTCAAACAAGATTGGAGTACTGGTAAGGGGATGAGGGGGAAAAAAAAAAAAAGTTTTCACAACAAATTAAATAGGCATAAAATAAACTGCTTAATCTACTTTTATTTGTAACAGTAATACAATCTTGATTTGTCCAAATGTGACTGCCAATGCATACTTTTCCATACTTATTAATTCCAAGTACAGCTCAGATTTTACAACAACCAGCAGGAAACTTACTTTCTCATGTCAGGTTAGCCAACTTATTGGTGGCTGTTTTAATTTGTGCTGTAAGCCACAGTGTATAATACTTTTTCCCCCCCTCTAGTGTTTCATCTCAAAATTAGGAAGCTGCCGCTTTTCCTTCAGAACAAAAGCTTTCAAGTTTTTTTTTTTTAAAAAAAAAGGTAGATTACTTTCCCAAAATACAGGCAAATAATGTCATTGCAGTTTACCACTGCAGAAGTTACAAAAAACTTAAACACTTAGAAAATTGCTTCACTTTGATCCCATTTTTTGGTATAAACTTTTCCATTAGTCACATACATAATCTCAGTTATTCTAAAAAAGGATAGGAAGATATATATTATAAGGAACAGAAACAAAACAGCACATCAGATTACAAGTGGCTTATTCCTTTCAGCATGAGTTTGGAATCCTTTTGTACCATCTGGCCCTCTAGGCAAACGCATTACTCCTCGTGGTAGTCCACCTGCATTATGTGTTTTTTGGGAAAGCATAGGGCTGTCTACAGGGCTGTTCTCATATGATAATGCATGTGCTTGCTTTCTTCTCTGTACCCATGGACTGCCTGATGGTGTATTGCTACTGTCAGATGAATAGTCAGTCCACTTACTTCCAATTTCAGAAGTTGTAATACTGAGTTTTGCATCTCCAGCAAGTGTGGATTTACAGGGAATGGTGTTTTTACGGTGTATTGAAGGACTTGAACGTGGACTATTCCATGGACTAGATCGAGGTGAAGTATTAGGGCTCAGGTGATTTTGATACAAGTTAGGGCTCAGCTGATTATTGGGTTTAAGCTTGCGGCTCAGCATGGGTGATGCAGGGTTGCTTTCAGCTTCAGATGAGCTGTATGCAGAGGAATCTTCACCCATGTACTGCAGCTCCTCAACTCGCTTATTGGCAGATTTGCTTTTTGACACATTCTTATAAAGATCTTCAGGTTCTTTGGTCTTCTCTCTGACACCTTTCTTCTTTGGTGGTTTCATCCCTATCAGCACCACTTTCATGCCCTCATCAGTTTTTCCAAGTGTCTCGTGTGCTTTGATTGCAGATTCAACATCTTCAAACTCTATAATTACACACTCTTTCACACCCAACTGGGAATACCGATTACTTAATCTCTTCACATCTGCAGGAAGTTCCTTTCCAGGTTTTAGAACTCGAACAGAAGAAATTGTACCAAACAAGCCAAATACTTTTAATATGTGCTCTATTAACTTCTCTTGTAATCCTCCATTTTCAGACTTGTGATTTTGGTTTAAGAATTGAAATTCTGGACACACATGTAAATCATATATCAACAGCATCCGACTGGGAAGGTTTTCACTAGGAAACACTGGAACAGCAGTCTTCCTTCTCACCTTTCTTCCTTCTTCATTCAGTTCTAGTAGCTCCGAGTGCTTCAAAGCAAAGGCAGTGGTTTGCCAATCACGAGTGAGATGCTTCACCTGGAAAAGGTGAAAGTTTAGTGGGATGTGGCAAGGCTAAAATTTACTATCAATTACTGACTCCACTGCAGCAAGAATTGCAGCTTTACAAGGATAGAGAAACCAATTTCAAAATTGTGGTTTAATTTTAATTGACAATTATTTCAAACTTGTCCAATCAAGAAATAAAGTTCTACATTCCTAAAACATCTGCGTGAATACAGTTATTCACAAGCTGAATTGAATGTCATGTAGACATTTTATGGTGGGGTGGTAAATGAATAGGTATTGTCATGTCAGTGTGAAGTGATGCATTTGGTTGGCAAGGATGGGAGGTAGAGATAAATGTGGAAATATAATCAAAATAGTGAGAGATGGTTGCATATTCTCAAATCATTTAAGAGGGTTAGGATCGTGTCTGACTGGGGACAATGTTTCCACCTTTAAAACATGAATGAAAGTCTCCACCTGATTTAAAAATAAAAATTGACCTAGTATTAAATTGCAGTTTGGAGAAGAGTGTTCCACTCATTGTAAAGTTTTGACTAATTTCATTCATGAATGGCCCATTAATTTGAGACTACACCCTCATTCTAGACTTCGAGCTGAAAGCAGCTTTCCCATCTGTTCCTCAACTACACCTTCATTTTGTAATTTCTAGCAGAAATTGTACTTTAAAATATCTAACAAAATGCTGGTTAAACTCAGGTCTGACAGCAGCTGTTGAAAGACGGTTAAGAATTTGAAAGCATCAGAAAGGTCTGAAGAGCTATACCATATTTGAAACATTCATTGTTTCTCTCTCTGCAGACACTGCCAGACTTACCAAGTTTATCTAGCATTTTCTGTTTATATTTCAGATCTCCAGCACCCATTGTATGTTGATTTTATATAATTTTTACATTAACCCTTGGGGCCTAGGTAACTTGGTCACTTACACACCACTCACTCCAAGGCCCTCTTTCCAAAGATGTGATCCAAGTGGACTGCAGCAGTTTAAGGAGGTAGCTCACACCACCTTCAAGGACAACTTAGGGCAGACAATAAATACTGGTCAGCCAGTGAGATCCAGGTTCCATGAGAGAATAAAAAAGTACTCAGAACTGCAGTTGTGGCCTCAGGGTTCTGTATGCCAAATTAAATTCTATCCCTTTATTATTCTATTCTTAGCAAAGTCCAGTGCTGCATTATTCTTTGAACATTTCTGTTCCTGTTCTTCACCGTGACATTTTTGTTATTACCAAGATCCTCACTGTTTCTGGCTCTAAGTAGAAACAACCCCTTTCAATGTAGAAAGTGAATTGCCTCCCATTTCTCTACATTTTGAATTGTTGAACTGAAAATGAAATTATTGTATTAACATGTTTGTAACATTAGGCTTTCAACTGTTGAGCATATGATGGTGCTTACATCATAGACAGATTTTCCAGATTTGACAAACTCATTAATACTGTCAGTTGTTTGCTTTTGCAACAGAATAATCTACTTATATTGTAGTTTTCACAACCTGAACATATCAACCTCTTTACACCCATTACTTTAAGCATAATTACTGTTTAATTTCTGTAGTGGAACTCAAACCCAAAACTTACTGACTCAGAAGCAAATATTGGGTACAATTCCAGACAGAATTTAGGATGGCTGTCAAGGCCAAAGGCACTGGGGAAGCTGATATTCAGAGCAGGAAACATTTGGATACCTATTGAGGTATAGATTGAGGGGTTATTAATGAGCAGATAGGAATAAGTGGTTTTCTGTGACAAGTGGAATGATAACCTGAGGATTAGGGAATAATGAAAAATTACTTAAGGGTTTAGATAATCTGGTGTGCACTAGCAGAAAGAGCAGTAGAATCAGATTCCATCAGAACATTCAAAAGGCAATTTGACATGCATATGAAGGGTCAATTTGTATTGTTATGTAAATGCCATCAGGACTGAAGAATCAATTGCAAAATCAGAGCTCCAAACTGTCAGAGGTGTAACCAAAATATTCCCAGTTAAATATCCAGCCTAAAAGCTGTAGCTGCTTCCTGTGTATAATACGTACCACTACAACCTAGAAGGATAGGGCAGCAAGTGTGTGGCAGCACCACTGCCTGCAAGTTCCCCTTGAAGCCACACACCATCCTGACTTGCAACTATATTTATATTCCTTCAGTCAGAGTCAACATCCTGGATTTCCCTCAGACAGTTTTATGGATGCACTTACACCACATGGACTGTAGCAATTCAAGGTGGCACCTTACCACCTTGAGGAATCAGGGATGGGTAACAAATGCTGGCTTATAGCCAGCAATGCTCACATCCTATGATATTTACATTGAATTTATAAAACAATTACAACTAGTTAATTATTCACATTAGAATCTGAAATGTTTCCACTTTGAACTGGAGGAGTTTAGAGACAGGGATGAACAAGAGGGAAAAAAGTGGAGCAATTCAGTAGGAGCATTTTAGAGAGATCCTGTTCTCCCTCCGAAACTTCATGTAAAATGTTTATGCATAGATTTTCAGTGTTGCACATGTCTACTTCATAGTTTGTGTTTTAGAATACTACTGTTGAAAGTTAGAAGTTTTAACTGAGGAGAATAAGAGCATCTGGGTGGAAAACTGATGAGCAATTATGGGGTGAATGCAATTCAAACAAGCTTAGAATTAATTACTTTTAAGATGTAATTTATTTTCCAGATTAACTGAATTCAATCCTCCCACCCTGTGGTGACACCTGAACTAATGTTTCCAGAGCATTAGCCTGAATTACTTGCCTATTAACATTACATTGACCACCATTTCACATTGCTATGCAGAAATTTGTGAAAGGCGTTTCATCAAGACAAACTCACCAGCACCCCATCTTTTTAGGCAGAGTTAATTTAAGTATCCCACAATTTAGACAAGAATAAGAAAATTTGAAGATTTCATACAATCCAAAAGCTTTATTCATACATGAGGGATTAAAATAGTTAAGTGATTTTTTGACCAATACTGACTCAATGGGCTTAAGGGATTTTTTTTTCCTGTGCAGTGGAGCTGATAAGTCTTGAACTGAAAGCTGAAATCTTGAAAGTTTAATTCAACTAATTACATTTGTGCACAGATTCCACTTTAGTCTAAGCTCTGCCATTCAGTATTTATCACCAAAACAAACCACTACTTTGATCTCAAGAAAATTTTTTTCTACTTTACCTCAACCATCCTCCAATATAGAAACATACCTTTTTGAAGGATGTCAGTAGTTTAACACTGACATATCCCATTTTATTTCTTCTCACATGTTTCAGAAGAAATGCATCTTTCTCCAGGTTCTCATCAGAAAGGTAATATTCAATCTGAGCAATTAGTTTTTGTATTAGCTCAGGTTCAGGCGATCTCCAGTCATTGTCCAGCTCATCCTCTGCTCCACTGAACGAGGCACTTGAGAAGGCACACAAGAATAAAAGAAAATAAATAGAAGTAGGCCATTTGGCTCTGAGCCTGCTCTACTATTCAGTATGATCATGGCTGCTTCTACCTCTACTCCACTTTGCTGTCTGTTCATCAAAGCTCAAACTCAACCTCTCAATCAAAAAAAGAATGTCTCAAATATACTCAACAATGGAACACATTCATCCAGTTAAACAAGCATAAAAATAATTCAAAAATTCAGGTCTGGCAGAATCTGTGGAGAGAAAGCAGAGTTAGTGTCTTGGGTCACAGCCCTGCTTTCTCTCCGCAGATGTGCCAAACCAGAGTTTTTCCAGGACTTCACAAGCTTCAAAGTCTCCCCTCCCCCAACCACATCCCAAAACCAGCCCAGCTTGTCCCCACCTCCCTAAGCGGTCCTTTCTCCCACCTATCCCCTCCTCCCACCTCAAGCCCCACCCCCTTGACCTGTCCATCCTCCCTGGACTGACCTATCCCCTCCCTAACTCCTCACCTACGCTCACCTTTACTGGCTCCACCCCCACCTCTTTGACCTGTCTGTCTCCTCTCCACCTCCTTTATCCATCTTCTTTCTGCCACCACCACCCCCACCAATTTATTCAGAATCCCCTTCCCCTCCCCCTCCCCCATTTCTGGAGGGTCTAGGCCCAAAAAGTCAGCTTTCCTGCTCCTCTGGTGCTGCTTGGCCTGTGTTCATCCAGCTCTATACCTTGTTATCTCCTTTTCCAGCAATTTGTTTTTGTTTGATTTCCAACATCTACAGTTCTTTGGATTTCTTATTTAAGATAAAAACAAATTGTTTCACTCAATAGGCAACTTTATAGTTAAGCAGTGATTTAGAGATGCTTCAAAACCACCATTACTTCCAAGCTGTAAACATTCAGGGACAAATTGGCATGTTGACCTCATCCCTACTGTAAATACAAAATTCTTCACTAATGATCAAAGTTACAAATTTAAAGGTACCCACATTTTACCTGACCATTCTCTTATTCAACCCTTTAAAAGGTGTTGATTTTACTATACACTAGTTTCTTAGTACAATTTGTAGCATCAGTTAACATTTTGTTAGCCTTTGCATTTTTGCTGCTTTTCCAATTGCCAAGTTTTTTTTGGAATTTTTTTGGTTTTATATTGGTCTACATCTCCAAGTGATTAACCGCTGGTGCTTTTGTCAAATAGAACTCGTTCAAATCAGCTTTGAGCAACACCAATGATGTCATTTTACCCATGAAAAGATTTGCCTACCTTACTTTTAGTCTTTTTCCAATTCAATTGAAGTGAGCATTATCTAAATTTAAAAGTGAGAACTTGTCCCAATACTGACCCTCGTGGAACACCACTTGTCACCGGCTACAATCATGAGAAAAACCCTTTTATCCCCACTGCCTGCTTTCTGCCAGACAGCCAATCTTCTATCCATGCTAGCACCTTGCATCTAACACCACAGGCCCTTATCTACCCAGCCACCACCTGTGTGGCACCTTGTCAGGCCTTCTTGAAGTCCAGATAGATAACATCCATTGGCTCTCCTTGGTCTAACCCGCTTATTACTGCCTTGAAGAATTCTAGCAGATTTGTCAGGCATGACTTCCCCTTGATGAAACCATGCTGACTTTGCCATTTATTCATTAATACACACACAGTTGCAGGCATATTGTTGCAGACTAGCCTGGGGCCCACAATCCTCTTTCTGATATGCACTGGTCTGCCTCAATAGGAAAGTTAAGCACACCTCCCATTAAAAACCATGCAGCCTTTGCTAACTTTATTTTTTTGTCCTCAATAATATACTTTAGATAAACCAGGAAAAAATTTCAATGATAAAATTATAATGGGTAATAAAGCAGCCGAGAATTGAGGTAGCAATGATTTTACTAATGGGAGATGCGTGCAGACCTCTAGTAAGAATACATTATTTAATTTCTAAACTGCACCTGGAAACCAGGTCTCTGTAATAGCTAGAGATAGTAGGAACTGCAGATGCTGGAGAATCCGAGACAACAAGGTGCAGGGCTGGATGAACACAGCAGGCCAAGCAGCATCATAGGAGCAGAGAGGCTGACGTTTCGGGCCTAGACCCTTCATCAGAAAAGGGGGAGGGGGAGGGGAAGGGGGTTTTGAAATAAATAGGGAGAGAGTGGGAGGCAGATAGAAGAGGGATAGAGGAGAGGATAGGTGGAGAGGAAACAAACAGGTCGAAGAGGCGGGGATGGAGCCAGTAAAGGAGAGTGTAGGTAGGGAGTGTAATAGCTACCATGCTTTAGCCTTCAAGTTGAATTTGCTCTTGTACCTTAACTTCTTCCTCAGTTTTTGCTTATATAGAAGAACACCTTGAACCTAAGTTCCCCAAATGATTTTTGAAGAAGGGTCCTGACCCAAAACATCAACTTTTCTGCTGCTCTGATGCTGCCTGGCCTGCTGTGTTCTTCCAGCTCCACACTTCCACTCTTCCCTATATGATTTCCTGCCACTGCACGGTCCTCCAAGGTCAGAGCGCAAAAGCAGTTTTGGGAACTAGACTTGAATGTGTCTTCATTCCAAGAGAGATTATCTCCTTCGTAGGGAAAATTGCACTCAACCCAAGTTGTTCTCCTTTAACTACATTTCTGAAGAAGGGTCTCAACCCAAAAGGTCAGCTTTCCTGCTCCTGATGCTGCTTGGCCTGCTGTGTTCATCCAGCTCTACACCTTGTTATCTCAGATTCTCCAGCATCAGCAGTTCCTACTATCTCCTTTAACTGCATCTCGGTTTGATCAATTTGTATCTTTTTAGGTTTTCATGTCAAAAGCAATATTTATACAATTGTTTCAAATTATCTATTCCACATTTCCATTTGTGCCTTCATTGTTTGACCATTCTCAATTCAGTTGCCAGACAACTGCCAGTTCCCCCCCCCAACACAGCCCTCCCCTTCTCCAGGTCCCGTCCCGTCCCGTCCCGTCCCCTCCCCACCCCACCCCACCCCTCTCCTCTCCTCTTCTCTAGCAACCCCTCATTCCCTCACCGGGAGTTTTCCCCGCCGCCGAGACTCGGTTCTCCGGGACTAAGCAGCTCTTCCTCGGCCGGCGCCACTTGAATCCGGATGGTGGGGGAAAGACTCACATCCCCGGGACCTGGGAGCTCGGAGACCGGGGACTCAGGTCCCTGCGGCCGGCCCAGTACAACATCTTCCATCAGCGACCGCTCGGGGTGCGCCAGGCTCCGGTGGTCGATAGCGAGCGGACAGGGAGCAGTGTCTCCGAGGCTCGGGCCCGCTGTTGCTGCCGAGGGCGGGCCGTATCCGCCCATAACCTCCCTCCGCCCGCCCCGAGGCGGGGCCCGGGCCCGGACTGAGCCGTTCCATGGACCCCGGGGCCTGGGCTTTGCCCAGAAGATGAAGCCGCCGTGCGACAGCGACTCCCTCTGAGGAGGCGGCAGCAGGAACACGGCCCAGCGCAGGAAGGCGCTCTGCAGGCTGCACATCGGAACACGCAAGACCGCGGCTCTAAGGGCTCGATGGGACTCGCACTGTCTTCTTATGGGGGCTCGGACTCGGAGTCTCCCAATCAGCAACAGAGGGCTACAGGCCGCCTCCCCCCTGGTTATTGGATTCACAGAAACACGCCACAGTTTATTTGTGTGTGCGTGAGCGTTAGTGTTAGTGTCTGGATAGAGAGAGAGGGAGTCAGTGTCCAGAGGGAGAGAGAGAAAGAGAGAGAAGGTCCGTGTCCAGAGAGAGAGTGAGAGCGCCATGGTCACCGATGTGAATGGGAGAGAGATAGAGAAGGTCAGTGTCAAGAGAGGGAGATAGATAGACAGAGAGGATCAGTGTCGAGAGAGAGAGATGGGGAGGGTCAGTGTACACAGAGGGAAGGAGAAGGACTGTGGCAAGGGAAAGAGAAAGAGGTCAGTGTCCAGAGAGGGAGAGAGAGCCATGGCCACTGATGTGAATGGGGGGGGAGGGAGAGAGAGAGAGAGACGGTCAGTATCCAGAGAGGGAGAGAGATAGAGATGGTCAGTGTCCAGAGAGGGAGAGAGAGCCATGGCCGCTGATGTGAATGGGAGAGAGAGATAGAGATGGTCAGTGTCCAAAGAGGGAGAGAGACGGTCAGTGTTCAGAGGGGGGGTGGGGAGTGGAGAGAGAGAGAGACGTTCAGTGTCAAGAGAAGGTCAGTGTCCAGAGAGAGAAAGAGAGAGACAGAAAGTCAATCTCTACAGAAAGAGAGAGACAGAGAGAGGGTCATTGTCTAGAGAGAGAGAGAGAGAGAGAGCAAGAGGGTCATTGTCAAGAGAGAGAGAGAG